CCTGTAGCTTGATAGGGTTCAAACCCTGAACTCTGTGTGCAGTGACTGTCAGTTGAAATACTGGCACACTTTTTCAGTCTTTCATTTTTTGCATTCTTCTTGGCTTTTTAATGTCTGTTTCCCCTTCAAACACAAAAACAAACATTGAAGAAAGCATTACATTAGAGTATTTCTGCTGTTTTTTTTGTTTGTGATATCCTCTACATTTTGATCTTCTGGCAGCCTCTGACCTTCTGGGGTTGACAACTTTTCATGCTAAAAATAAGAAAATCCCAGGAGAAAAGGAAAAGGTGGTCACCCTTTAAATGCTTTGAAGGCAAAAGCCAAATAATCTTAGATGTCATTCTTCAATTTTGTCTCCTTTTTCAATCTGTGACTCTTCACACTTTCTTACTACTTTTGGTGATTTTTTAGAAGTTCACATGACTGTTCATTTAATGTTTACACAACAGTTATAATTATTATTTGCAGAATGGCTGCCTACTTTGTCAATGACAGAATTAGAACCTAAGTACTATATTGTAATTTCTGAAATATTGAGATTCTTTAAACGTATGATCCAATGTTTAATCTCATAATTTCTTCTTGGTATAGTGACCATGACAGTACTACTAGTAATAATATTGCAACTTCAAATTAAAAATAAAATTAAAACTTTACTCATAAAAATCACCTTGCAACATGACTGTAATATAATGAGAATAATGACAGTGTCTTGTTTGGATGAGAGGATGGATGGTGGTTTTCTTTTGTCCACTTTCAGTATTTTTCAAATACCAATACAACTTAACTACATATGGCTAGATGTATATATTCTACTTACAATGAAAAAATGAGCATCAAGTTTATAAAACAATACCAAGCTATATGCATCACCAATAACTTCTTCAAAATGAGTAAGAAAAATATAGCTAAAAGGTAATTACAAAAGAAATTGTTAGAAAAGTTCTCTTAAAAGTTCCATGGAATATAATATGCAAAATCTTAGAAAACATATTAAAATAACTTTTTTCAGTGACTACTTACCGGATAGAAAAACCCACAGAGGACAGCTGAGGCTTACTAATCACAATTAGCCCTTATAAAATTGCACCCAGATACCGTAAATTTTCTCTACAGATTCTCTGAATATGTTAGAAAATATTCTGTTATTGAAAAGGATTATAATTTAATGAAACCAGTATGATACTGATAAGGGATTCGTCCATGAAATTTTGTGAATGTTAGCATTCATTCTATGACTTCATTAGCTTGTACCTAAACAAAATCACCTGAAAAGCTGGAATAGCTCTGTATGATAAAAGACAGATGGCTCATGACTATATATTTTATACAGTCCACAAAAAATTTTGAAACTTAGTGGGTTGAATGCCTATTTGGTTTGGCTGCCTAGGGCATTCCACAAAAGTATTATTCTTCCTGTTTTTTCTGGTAACTCCACTTAGATGTGCATGTTTTCCACTCCTCACTGACTCATCACCATCCTTTTGCTTTCATTTATCTCACTTGTTAATTTTAGTAGTTGTCTAAGTGAATATTGAGAAGTGTTTTTATATGATCCAACATTTAATCTCATAATTTGCTTCTGGGTATAGTGACCATAACAGTAGTAATAATATGCCTTATTCTACAAATACATGATCAGATATCTCCACTAAAAACAACTATAGTTACAAACAACGTAGGCTGGTTAAAAAAAAGAAGTCAAATTTTCACACTAAGGAGGAGCAATGTTCCTCACACTGCATCAAGGAGCAGGAGAATTACCAAGAGAAAGGATTTGCATTTGCTCTGCCTCCATGTCAATCATAATGGAATAAAATCAATTGACTACATGTGGTTATAATCTTTTTTTGTCCAAATGCCATGAAAATAATTTTGACCAAAGAAGTGGTCCCTGGTGTATCTGTCAGGCCGTTTGTTGTATTGTCAGAATGCATCTCCTCAGCCATCAACTAATGTCTCTCTTTTTCTTGCCTATATTTTAAAGTTAGTGACCCAATTCTCTTGGATTCTATTACTATATCCTAAACTTGTTGCTCAAATCTCGTCTCTGGAAGACTTTTTTCTTGCCGTAAAGGTACTGGTTCGGAGATGAGTCCCTGTAACTTTGCAGGAAGGGGTCCAATTGTCCTCTTCATCTGTACCTCTTCATGAACATTGTGGTTCTGCTGTGTGCTGACTCTGCAGGAACCATAAACTTTCCTCCACTCTCCTCCACAAGATGAGTGAGGGGTTTCCTCTGTAGTAGATGAACCAGGCTGGCATAAAGGGGTACCTCTCCTGCATCAGCATCTATGGTAACATTATAAGCAAGACGGGACCATGCTAAAACTACCAACCCATCCTAGGAATTTTTAGGATTGTTATCCAAAACATAAAATAAAAGTCAATGCAACAAAAGAAACAGAAATTCCTGTTAATTGGTAAATAATCCATCTCCCTTTGTCCACCCTCCATCCAAACCACAGACCCCTTTGTGATCTGTATTTTTTTTTTTTATTCAAACTGCTAGATCCATGCAGTTGTGTTCTTCAACACTAGAGCATTTTGTGTCTTTATTTCCACTGCAGGAGAACAGGCAAGGGAGAGCCATCTTGGGGAGCATAGAATTTTCCAAGCCCAATTCCATCAATATTTTCTCCCTTCACTCAAATTAAATTCACCACATCTGTCTTCCTACAGGATGGCTTGCAAAGAAACAGCCACTCCTCCCCCACTGCCTGCTCCTCACCCCCAACAATGTAATCATGATTTCCAAGACTACAGGGATTTTAAAATAAGGATTCTTGGCAGATTTGGCAAAACAAACCTTCTGTCATTGTTCACACTGTTTGTGAGCTTGCTTAAGCATCCACTTGTCCCCATCAGCAGCAGTCCCGGCATGTTTGTGTGGACAGAAAAGGGTTAAAAGGCACTGGTGAGACACCACGCATGTGTTAACTCATTCTGCAGCAGCATCCATCCTTCCCACTTTGACCTCAGTTATCTGCGTGATAGCTGATCACGCAGAGCCTCTAGTGATTTTTTTCTAATTCTTTTAAGCACACACACACAGAGAACTCTGCTCCCCACTCAAAGAAAAAGCACAGAAAGAAAACAAAAGAAAGAAAAAAAGCAAATAAACAAACCTAAAGCACTCGACTGGGGGGAATTCGCCTGAGTGTGAGGGGCATGAATCTCTCTCTCTCTCTCTCTCTCTCTCTCTCTCTCTCTCTCTCTCTCTCTCTCTCTCTCTCTCTTTCTCCTTCTCTCTCTCTCTCATTTGTCTCGGTGTGCATCTCTCCCGGTACCCTCCCCCTGCCTCAATTATATTATTCCCCCAGACTTGGAAGCTGCTGCCTGAGCTGACGCTTTGATGGTATCTGCAAGCGTTTGCACTGATCTTATTTCTGCCCCCTGAATATTAATTCCCGCAGCTGGTAGCAATCCATCTCCCCAGTGACGGGCGCCCTACTAGAGGCAGGTGGGGGGAGCCACCATCAAATCATAAGCATAATAATAATACAAAGGGGAGGGATTCTTCTGCAAGCAAGAGTCAGGAGGAAAAAAAAATAGCGATGAGTTCGTCGCATAGATGGAGCACAGGAAGCTCGCTGTACTGGACTCCTGTATTTTCACAGAAAATGACGGTGTGGATCCTGCTCCTGCTATCGCTGTACCCGGGGTAAGATGTGCCATTTTCTGCTTTGTTTTGTTCTGGAGTGGTGGGGGGAAGGGATGAGGATGTGGACCTAGGGAGACCACCCGAATTTAGGATTTGGGGTTTTATAACTGAGGGGAGAGTGAGTCTATGGGATGGGAACACAAGGGATGAGCAAAGAAGGTCGCATTTATTTATTAGTTTATTGGGTAGTATTTTTGTTGTTGTTTAATTTTAGAGCAGAAAAGCCCACTTTGTGTTTGGGGCACAGCATTTGACATTGCTGCAATCTGACACTGAGGTGGGTTGTGCCGATGCACGGCTGCGTTTGAGGCCATGTTGAAGGCATTTGGTTGGGGGTCTGGAGGAGGAATTTGCAAATGGGGTCTTGGCGCACAACAGAGAGATGTGTGTGAGGGAGGGTTGGGGGGCGTGATAGCTCTGTTTCTGTTCACTAAAGATCGCTTTGCACCTGGGCATTCAGTCAGCCAGGTTTTCTATCCAGCCCCATTGACCCGGCAGCTGACTCCCTGATGGGCAAACACGGTTCAGCACCAAGGACAGCAGTCTTGCTTATGGCCAAATGGAAAGAGACTTGTCAAACCTCCTTGGACATCTGTAGAACTACATTGGACATCCATTCAGTCAGAGAGAAGGCCTATGGAGCAGGAAGAAGCACAGAGAACCCCCCCAACACACACACACACACACACTAATATTGCTGCTTTCTCTCTTTGAATGGGTTGGGGGGGGTTGTTGAGCATGGGGTGGGGAATGTAGTTCAATGAATATTTAAAGCAATATATGTCTGGGAAAGAGCTGGCCTAGCTGCAGTGTTGAAAGACATGCTGACCCAAGTAAATGAGATTTCAAAATTCTGAAGGATATATTAGTATTTTACAACAGGGCTGCACTGAGTGGAAAAGAGAAGAAGGGGGGAGGTGAACTCCTAAAATCTGTGTGTTCTTTCAAGTGCTTTCCATGCAAATTTTCTTGAACATCCTTGAAACAAGAGTACCAGGGGACAGCTAGCTCCTAGACCCATACAAATAGCTCCCACCATATTACAATTTACAACTAAAACTAAAAACAGATTAGAGAGTGTCATGTATATCACGTACACTTCTCTGTTGACACTTTAAACTACAGCTCTAAAAAGATGATCCCCCCACGTTCCTATCCTCTACACTCCCCCCAAAAGAAAAAATAGCTTATAGAAGAAAGTAGGATACTATCCCAAGGTTGTAAAATAATAATCTGAAAATGAGGAGTTAAACTGTTTTTTAATTGTGTTGAGAATATCTTGTCAACTTCTCTGGTTCTACTTAATTAGGATGTGTGATGGGACAGATAGTTTTCTGATAAAGAGATTCAACAAAGCAAAATGTGAAAGACTATAATTTCTAAGCAACGTCAGGGTCTACTTAACCCTTTCAGCACTTTACCTATCTTCCTCCTTCACTGTAAAAATAGAAGTATTTTCATTAAAAGGGAAGACAAAGTTTTCTCAGAAGAAGAAAGGAGCTCTTATTTGTAAATGGTTTTGTGTGGAAGTGTATTTTGGTGGAATCCTGGAAAAGTAATTTTGTATTCAAAATTTACATACAGAGTTTTTTCTTAAATGCTATGATTTCTCATACTTTGATGCAGCCATTAGAGCTCATAGTTACTTACTGATAGAAAATACCTTTCCCATATTCCTACAACTCATGAAACCTGTGGATTAAAATCTAAACAAGACATGGGGGAAGGGGTCTTTGTTTCTGACTCACATCCATTTTAGTAAACAATTTTTAATGATATTGTGTTGAGAATATTTTGTCAACTTTGCATTTGGTTGTTACATTGTGTACAATGGTACTTTTTAAACCAAAAATTTTCATGTGTGTTATTGTGTATAATACTACAGTACTAAAGATTGCTCCTTGTTTTAAAAAGTCTTATCTTTTTATTCCAATATCATATAAAATATAAACTTGATGATATATTTTATTTAATTTTTTTCAAGAGTAGCCTAGATGAGTTTTAAAAATAGTTCTAAATTATGTGTCATGAAAAGCCTCCAATATGAGGATTTTTTTTTTTTTACATTTTCTCAGTAATGATAGAGAATGGAGTCATTGCAGTTTGGTGCAGAGAATATAATCAGAGTTTCAGTTTGCTGCAATCCCATAAAAAATAAAAGCATTTGAATGGCTGAGTAGGGTTGGAGTAGGTCTGGAGAAAAACATAAGCTTTGATCTCTAAAGCTGATCCCAAGAAAGAACACTAAGTTACTGGAAAAAAATTGGGGACCCTAAGAATGTTTTGGGGTAAGTAGTAGTAGTAAGATCACATAGAAAGTTGAAGAAATAAAATAAAAAATAAAAGAAACATTTAATTGACTTTTTAATTTATGAAATTCCAAGGAATAAGCATTTCCTTCTCATTAAATGACATTTCATGGGGTTGCATCTACATAGAGATGAATTAAACAGGAAATTAAAACATTGGGCTGGACATGCTACCAGACAATGCCTCTTCCAAGAAATGAAATATTTAATTTCAAAAGCTCACATTTTGCTAAATTGCCACATATTTTCTTCACAGTGCTGTCGTGAGAATCACCTGAGAGCTTACTAAAATGGAGATTCCCAAACCATAACTGGATGACTCTGAGTCATTATGTCTGGAGTGAAGTCTAAGAATATTCATTTTTAACAAATGTCCAAGACCCCACTTTGGAGGAAAAAGTCTACATTTGGCTGATTTTCAAATGTTTATTCCCACTCCATTTAATATTTGCAAATACTTTGGGGTGTATTTTTTTGCAAATTTATTATTCAATTGGACAAAATGAATCAATTTCACAGCCATAAACTTTTAATTTATGTGTAAATCATTGATTGTATTATACAAGTCACAAAGGATAATAAACATTTTAAAAGAACATTAACAAACCCATATCATATATGAGAAGATATTGACTGAAAAAATCAAACATATGCACATCTATGAGTGTGTGTGCAAGTATATTCCTGGACTATATTCTCTCTTTTTCTTTCTCTGTCTCTTTCTCTTTCTTTCTCTCTCTCTCTCTCTACATATGTTTTTTAAAAAATTTCAAAATTTTGTAAACTCTATCAATATAACTCATTCTAGCTCAAATTGAAAATACCCTAGAAAAAAGGAAATTAAAATACCACAGAAAAATTATTTATATAGGAACAAGTAATACAAAGAAAGATAATTTGTTTCTATTCGAACAAAATGTGCTTTAATATACTTAGTTATAGAATTATTTTTCAAAAAAGATTGAGCAAAAATGAATTTGATTAAATTTTTGATAATCAAACTAAATGTTACTTTGAAGTAGTAGCCTTAAATTTAAACAAAAAAACTTGGATTAAAGATTTATGAGTATTTGCTGTTCTTAACTATTGCTGAATAAAACTATTTAGGGTGACTTTTTAAGAGCCTCCAACATTGACTTTTTTATCCCATGATTACATTCACTTTTTGCACAGATCTAACTTTTACTGACTATGACCACGCACAGAGGGATAATATTGTGGTTTTTCTATTTCAATACAACTCTATTTGTTTATGGAATAAATCTCTACAGACAACCTTGTTACTCCTCATTTTTATAAGTGCTTCAACTGGTTTTAGCCAAGAAAACCCCTTTTCCCACACATACAGTTTTTAATTGTAGGCATGGCATTCCACGTATTCTTATCCTGATCATCACCTGGAATAAAGTCAATTTTGTGTGACCCAGAATTTTCCAGAGTTCAGCCGCCCGCAACTCCCTAGATAGAACACTTGGACAGTAGTGAGTAGAAGATTAAAAATGGGCTGTGTGTGTGCGTGCATGTGTGTGAGTGAGGAAGGGGCCCAGTTCCAGCCCAGGGTCTTCCATAGCACTCTTCTACTGAGGTACAGTCACAACCTTTGGTGTTTTGAGATAGGGCCTCACTATGTAGCTTAGGTGGCCTCAAACTCACAATCCTCCTGCCTCTGCCTCCTGAATGCTAGGATAACAGGCAAATGCCTAGCCATATATTGGTTTTTAATTTTTAAAAAAAGAGCTACATAAATGTCTCTGTGATACCTTAGGCTCATTTTATAGTCATTTCAAAATAACTGACTCACAGAAAATATAATTTAATTGTAAAAGTCTGTTCCATATATTTTTAAGGTTTCATGCAAAGGAATTCAACTCAAATTAGACTTTAGGAACTTTATCACATTGGTACAGTATGCACAACATTTCATATATATTATATCTATACATCCTTATACACTGACCATTACATGTGGCATCATGTTTATTTACCATTATGGATGCATGACTATCTACATCAATCCACAAACATATTTGCCATGATCCTGTGTTATATCATCTCTTGCCTTTAAGCAAGACATTTAATGTACCTATAATCTTTTTTTCCTATTCTGCAAATATGGGTGACAGTAACTACTTCACAGAGACGTAGTGAAAATTAAACATAATTGCGTGTGTGTGTGAATAGTTCAGTACATGTACATCCATGGTACAAGCAATTTTGAAAGTGTGACTATTTAGCTTCTGACTTTGATGATGTCATATAGGTATCCTATAAACGAATAGCAAAGGGTGTGTGTGTGTGTGTGTGGTGTGTGTATTGCTGAGAAGTAAACCCTGGGTATTGCACATGCTAAGCCCTAAATTTCCAGATAGGTGTATTACATTTACCTGAATAAAATATCATATCTGGAATATCCATTCAAATTGAAATCCTGAATCTTTAAGCACTTACATTGTGTAGAAACCCAACGTGTTCAGACTTCTAGACTGTTTGAATTATAACTTTCAGTTAATCTTCTGCAACCAGTTAATTTGGCAGAAGTACTTTAGAGAGCCACATGTATGTGTCGTTCCAGCAAAGCCTAATTGTATTGTGTGAGCTTCAGTATTTATAACTCTGGTTCTATCTTCAGAAAACAAACTCTGGAAAAGGTACCTTAGATCCAATTGGCCCATTGAACAAATTAAAATATTC